AAAACGGTTCATTTCCTCATTCCCTGCTGGGCACCAGCAAGCAAACCCAGAACTAATAATTCAGACAAACTGCAAATTGTTGATCGCCCCCGGCAGACAATTCCCGATACTAAAACCAAGACTAAGCCAATACTAAGCCAATTCTAAACCAATACTAAGGCAGCACTACGCATACTAAACCAATACTAGTCAAACAAATGCTAACAAGTGCTCAGGTGCAGACCAATTCAGGGGTACCTCTTGCCAGCTGCACTGTGGCATCGGACATCATCTTTTGCTTTGTTGAGTTTAGAGGGGAACCCTTACCAACACGGCTGTCGGATCAAGGAGTTTTTCCCCACTTCTGTGATACAAGGGAATCTTCCCCTTTACATATGAGGTTAGTGTTTGGGACGCCCCGTCTGTGTTGCATTTTTCCACAGCCCTGCTTCCCAAGAAAGAGCAAACACAGGGCGCTGCTGGGTTTCACCCCCAAGTCGTTTTAGCGGTTTCAGCGGTTTCCTCTGTTGGACTCATCAGAAACTGTTTGAGGGCCTATATCCACACTGATTGGACATGGACCTATTGGACATCAGTGCCCTAGGGGTCTTGAACCAAGCATGGAATCCAGGATCGAAGCCCCTCTGTCGGGTGGAAACCAGCTACCCTCCCATCATGGAACCCCCCGGAGTCCTGCAGAAACTTGTTTTTGTGGGACCATTTCTCTGGTGGGGAACCCATGGCAACATGGAGGCTACCTTTGGCGACCCAGTTTCCACCAGGAGTCTGCGGGCAGCCGTCTGAGGGAGATTTGCCCAAAGGATCTCCCTGGCGCGCGTCTCAAAATAAAGGAATTAGACCCAAAAAAATATTGAGTATCTACTTGGCTTTCCTTCAAAGGGACCGGGGCCCCTTGATTGGGGAGGGTGATTAGGGCCGCCCCACCCCACAGACCGGGAGAGCGTTGGACTCCACTCAAGCCCATCTTTCCGCAACCAGGTCCTCCGCTGCAAACGCATCAAAGGGCTCGCGAAAAGGATGGAGACCACTCCGAAAATCACCGCCGACCCGAGCCTGAACATGACATGCGTGTGTGGCAAGAGTGTGGGAAGGTGTGCGTGTGTGTGGTCGTGTGTGCTTGTGCGTGCGCTTGTGTGCGTGCTTGTGTGTGTGTGTGCTTGTGTGCGTGGTTGTCTGTGCGTGTGTGTGTGTGTGTGGTTGTGTGTGCTTGTGTGTGTGTCCTTGTGTGTGTGTGTGTGCTTGTCTGTGTGTGCTTGTGTGTGGTTGCGTGTGCTTGTGTGCGTGCTTGTGTGTGTGGTTGCTTGTGAGTGCTCGCGCGCGCGCGCGCGCGCGGGTGTGTGTGTGTGTGTGTGTGTGTGTGTGTGTGTGTGTGTGTGTGTGTGTGTGTGTGTGTGTTTGTGTGTGTATGTGTGTGGCTGTGTGTGCTTGTGCGTTCGTGCTTGTGTGTGCGTGCTTGTGCGTGCGTGCTTGTGCGTGCGTGCTTGTGTGTGTGTGTGCTTGTGTATGTGTGGTTGTGTGTGTGCTTCTGTGTGTGCTTGTGTGTGTGCTTCTGTGTGTGTGTGGTTGTGTGTGCTTGTGTGTATGCTTGTGTGGGTGTGCTTGTGCGTGTGTGTGTGTGTGTGGGTGCGTGCGTGCGTGCGTGCGTGCGTGCGTGCGTGCGTGCGTGCGTGCGTGCGTGCGTGCGTGCGTGCGTGGGTGGGTGGGTGGGTGGGTGGGTGGGTGGGTGGGTGCGTGCGTGCGTGCGTGGGTGTGTGTGTGTGTGTCTGTGTGTGTGTGTGTGTGTGTGTGTGTCTGTGTGTCTGTGTGTGTTTCTGTGTGTGTGTGTGTGTGTCTGTGTCTGTGTCTGTGTCTGTGTCTGTGTCTGCGTTTGTTCGCTCGCACGCCCTTTTCAGGTTAGGGAAACGAAAGGGAACACCGAAAATCATGTTGGGTCTCATCCACATGACACATCCCCGTGTCAGATGGCTCATGTTTGATCAAAGCGGCCAGGGGAACAGAACAAACTCGGAAGGGGAGCAAAGAAATATGTCAAGGTTCTTCATATCGAGATATAACCTGAAACAAGTTGTTTTACTCCTCCAAAGTTAAGCTCAAAATCGGGTACAGACAACCAACAAATTCGCTCAGAGGTGAGCAAAGAGCCTTAGGTTTAATTGGTGAATCGCTTGAAGGTTGACAATTTCTGTGGAAACTGAGCCAATTCAATCGTGGTTAGTCAGATGTCGGGACAAAAGGTCACCCTTGTGGGCGCATAAGCATGGTGAATATTCGCAATAGCCAACTAAAAGCATCAAACCACCTTTCTGGACCCGGACGGCAAACTGACAAAGGCTTCGCGACAGGTTGGCGGTGTTTGCCATGTATGTTTTGGAGTTGGCACCCCGTGCATGGTTTTAAGAGGAAATCAAAAGGAACACCATTTGGGGGGTCCGCCCTTCAAAAAAGACACAGGTATACCGGGAACCCCCAAACTTCACTCGCTGGTCAGGGGAAATCATGCAAGGACACCAAAGCCAAATGAATTTTCAAAAACAACATGTTTAAACGAATCTCCCTTTAAGAACCCGCTCTTGGCAAATTCCATATTCATCTGCACTTTTGACAACACTGGGCTGCCCTCAGATCCCGGTAAAAGCTTAACTCTTAGTGGGTTAAATGTAAACTACCACTAACCACTAAAAGGCTAGAAGGCTAAGGGGTGGCTGGGAGCCACCAAGAACAATGCAACATCTGTGCTAAGGAATCCGAAAGTGAAGCACCTTCATGGCAAGTGTTATAGTTCCACGTGAGCTCGCCACAAAAACGCAACAACACATAACTATCATAGGTGGCCTTTCGGAAAAATCGATGGCCCTGGTAAATAGAATACACCCTATCTAAACCAGGGCCCGCTACTTTTTTACGCAAACCAACCAAAAAGGACACCTATGATAACTATACCTGGACAACAGGGGGGTTGTGACCCTTCATTGAGGGGTGGTTTGCCCAATATCTGAAGGGTCATGGACGATACGCACTGCAAGGTGCGAGGTAATACTTTGCATTCACAAACCCCATACCAACAAAAGCAATCCTTTCGTGGTCCGAAACGGATTTCGTCCGTCCACAGTACCATTTGGCCATGGGTCAACATCCCGTACCCCCAGTGAACATCCGTTCTAAAATGGGTGGCGAATTCACCTACCCCAAAATGGTAATGTAAAAAAGTCTCAAAAGTATTCACTCTCCTGAAAAGCAAAAAGGGTAGGTATTACAGAAAAAACTGCCCGAAATCCCGAAAATATGTTCCCTTAACGTTTGAGTCCAGCCAGAAATGTCCAGAATCTCTGGATTGCTTCCTGTCCCAAACCACCAAATTCCTTAGCAATCCCTTTACTAGAAGATGCACCCTGACAAACTTTCAAGGGGGTGGCACACGGAACCCCCAGGAAGGCAATAATGCCGTTTGTTTAAGGGTAGGGAATTGTGAAAAAAAATGGCCATGGCAGCCTGCCAAGAAGAAGAACCAATACTAAACCAATTCTATTCTGTAGTGAGTCAACTGAAAAGAATACTGAACTAATACTAAACCAATTCTAAACCGTAGTGAGCCAGCTCAAAGGAATACTAAACCAATACTACACCAATTCTAAACAATACTTACTGGAAGACTACTCAGGCAGGTCCCAGTCTGACCCCCAGTTTATTTTGTTTTTGGGGTTTTCGCTATTGACCCCCCCCAATTCAATTCGTTTCAGGGGGCGGGCCCTTTATTAATCACTCTCCAACATTCCCATTGGTGTTGACCCACAGCCATTTCCTCAAAATTCCACCCCTTCGGACCTGACATTCGATCGATTTGGAAGTCCACGAAAGCACACGGAACCCATGCAAGTCATGCTTGAACAACCAAAACAAATACTCCCAGCATTCCAAGAAAAAAAGGGCAGTCTGAGCCTAGGAGCTAACTTTGGCAGGGATCCGGATGCATTATACACCTGAACATTGCAACTTGTACATGGCGGTTTCCCTTTATTTTGGTGGAAAAAGCAACATGCTCCCCTCCCATCAGCTCCAGCCGGCGGCTCGGATTGGTGCTTTGAAGGGATTGGTTTCCCATTTACCCCCTACAAAAAGCCAGGCCGCCCAGCCAAACCGCGCTTCCATCGGACACCCGGAAAAAAAGGGAGAAACAAACGGGGGAAACAAAAACAACCCCCCCAAAAAAAAACGGGAGTCGTCGCTTGCTTTGCTTCTCGCTGAGCGGCAAGATCCAGAAGAGCGTTCCGGAGATCTCGTAGAGCGCCACTGAGTTGGCCGCGATCTTCAGAATGTCCTGGCCGCAAGCTCCGGGATCGGAGGCTCACGGGTGGGGTAGGTGGGGTCCGGAGGTTTATGGGGGAGATAACCCACAAAAGCCACAGTTAGAAGTCTAAGCAGGCTGTAACCAGGCGTACTCACCACTTACTAAGTACACTGGCCCTTTACCCACGTAATTGCCATAGTGGAAGTCTCCGTTTTTCTCACCGCCCCTTAAGTGCCGGATGCAAAAAGGAATGGATGTTCGGGGGGAGACGTATGGGATACCAAGCGTGGACGATGTCTTTTATGGAAAGAATTCCTTCTTTTAAACACCTTCTGTTGAACTGGGGGCTTGTTATACACAAACATATTCCACCGGTCCTTGCAAAGCGTTGTGACCAAGTTCAGCGAGGAGTGCGTGAAGGAACCTCAGACTCATGGAATCTCATGGGTACAGGATGGAAACGCATCTTCTTCCCTGGGATTTTGCTGGGTTGTAGGACGCCACACGAATGATGCTCATTTGGCATAAGCTGCAAATCGTGACATAGGGCCCATTGAATTCTTCCAATTTTCTTAAGCACCCTGAGAAGAATCAAGTATGTCCAGTAGTGATAGATTCCCTTTAGCAAGGGAACATAACAATAGTCATTTCAACAAATGGAATAATTAGGGGTGTTTGAGTAGCAATGCTTCCGCTTCCACAACAAACAGCAAAAAGGGTACCGAACCTAACCTCAACAAAACGAGAAGGCTGATGGACAAGACCCGAACAAAGCGCCCGCAGTGTCAGCGAGCGGTTGGATCGTGAAACTTATGTAACTCGCAAAGAGCAACAAGTGCTGCCCGAAGATCGATCTCACCCGAAAATCGATCCTGGCCGACGCCCCTGCCCAGGCACCGATGTCTTGAGCGATACGCTGGTCGGGATTGTCAATGTTGCCATACTGCACGCTGAGCCGGTAGTAGCCCTGGCCCTTGTTCGCGTACATGTCCAGCACGCCTCGAAACTTTTGAACTCCTTTCTCATGCACTGATTGTGTCCTTTGAGGGAAATAGACGGATTTCCCCGGTAGATGATTTAGTAAACCAGGGCCATCAATCTTTTTACCAAAACAACCAAACAGGACACCTATGGTCATGCGTTGATTGGGGTGCAAAATGGAAAGGGCTTCCATGAAATGTGCCGTGCGATTGGCGTACTTGCACCCTTGAATCCCACAAACAACTCTTGATGCACTATCATCTGGCCACTGCCAGCAACAAACGCACGGGTATCCGGTATGTGTTTTTGAGTCACCGTTATGGGACAACAAAGGGCACAATCCATTTTGGGGTTCCCCCCTGGTTAGCACAGTAGCTACATGCTTTGGTGGGATCATGTATTTCAGACTCATTTCCTTAGTTGATTGGCAAAACACCTTTTGCGAGCGCTTGTGTTGCCACTAAAACCAGTCTTCCAAAAAAATGTTTAAGTCAGAGAACTCAAGGCGTGAGGCTACATCTCGTTAGACTCTCGTTCCAGAGATCACAGTCTTTTTCTCCCCTGTTCGGACCCAGAAATTAAAGGTTAGCGTTTGGGCATCTCCAAAATGGGAATCCAACGTGGAAAAAACATGCTGGTCAACAGGTCGATTCGCTTTGAGCAAGTGAGAGGGTATTCTGACCGGGAGTGAGAGTTTGTAAAGCCCCGGAAGGCTCAAGGCAAAGGCCGGCATCTCGAAACAAATGCGATCCTGTCCCAACTGATCCCCTGCGAAAAGTCTAACTTATGATAATTTAGGGGAAACTACCACTAAACCAACCCAAAGAACACATGTAGTTGGAGAGTCTACAACAAGTTCTCAACCAAAAACAACCAATCAAGTCTACTAAACCAACCAAAACAACAATGGGTGAAATGGACTCCCAATCATTGTCGCGAACCGAGTTGTCCGGCTTGACGGATTCTGAAATCAACTCTCTTCGGCAGAACTGGACGACCACTGAAAGACGGACTTCTTTGTTGGTGTGCTTAAGGGAATCTATCACCATTCAGGCGATTTTATTCTGGCAGTATATGATTTGACCAGTAGCAATTGGGGAGAACAAAAAAACATTATCCTTGTTGACTTGGTCGATTCAAGAGAACCCCGCCCCAAATACATTTGAAACAACGGGACATTGCCCAACGAGGTGTCAAATTCCTCAGCCTTGGTAATGTGGACCCCATATTAATCAACCCCAGTTTATTAGTAGGGGAGGGCCCACCCCCCACAAGTGGTCTGATTCGCCCCTTTTTTTGGTTGACATCCCAGCTACTAACAAACTGGGGTTGCCTACTATGGGGTGAACATGAAATCACGGGAGGCTCCCAATCCTTCGCTCTGAGGGTTTGTGCGGTGCACCCTGGGATTACACCCTTGGGAAATGACCCAGAAAGGTTCAAACTAACACGGTTTTATCCGGACATGTGCCTAAATGTGGTCAACACCCTGTGAGTGTATTCCCAGGGTGTGATACAAAAACCCTTTGATTCGCTTACGCTTCAAGGCCCGCTCTCTTGCGAGTCCAGGCTGCGAGTTGTAAGATACTTCCGCCAGTCCAGGATCAGCACCTAAGTTGGTCCCAGTTAGTTCGCTGGGCTCTCCGTTTTCTGATCCCCTCTAGGTCCTCCAGTAGAGAGGTTAGAACAAGGGTACACTTGTTTCTGTAGTCTGTTTTAGTAGGGGAACCCTCCCACAAAAAAGGGTAACAGGGCACTACTGGGGGACCTAGCCCTAAAAGTGAGTCACTTTTCGTGGATTAACTTCAGAACCCCACCCACCCACTAAAAACACGTAAAAGCTAAAAAGCTAAGGAACCAGATGGCTGACAGCCACCAAGTACGTTGTTGGTAACCAAGGTAACCCACTCAGTAGCCTCCTGTGGGCTTAACCCAGTTGGTGGGTTATATCCCATCTGGCTAACCACTTACTAACTTGGCGAATCGAACATCCAAGTACTCACCCCATGCGAAACTTCAAACTTTGTTTTTCCTCAACAGCTGAAAGCTATGGATTTGGTTTCTGCCCAGATAGGCGACAAAGGGTGATTAGCTTTCAGGGAGCGTTCACAAGGGTTACAAGGGGGTCTGGAGCTGTTGGTGGATAGTTCCACACCAGGCACCAGGCACCAGGCAACAATACAATATAGGAGGCTTATCATAGTGTCCCATTGCAAAAAGTGACACTGGGTCCC